CCCCCAGTGGCACCGCCCTCCCCCCAATGGCACCGCCGGCAGCAGCCCCCACCCTCGACTGAATCGCGTCGCATGGCGGCGCCGCGCCGCCGCCCGGCGGCGGCGGGTTGAACGGCGCGCCGCCGGGGTGGGCGTCGTCTCTGGTGTTAAAAAAATAGGATTTGTAGGCCTCGCCGTGGCAGTCGACGCCAAACGTCACCGCCATGCCGAGCTGAGATTGTAAATTGTGAGTTGCGGGGCGACGGCGACAATTACAAATCACATCGAATCACTTGAGCGGCCGGCCGGCAGGGGCACCACGGCGGCGTATCCGGGTGCGGAATCAAGAGGGCGGGGCCGGCCGGATCAAAGCGGGGAGCGGCGCGTGCGCGGCGGCGAGCGGCCACACGTGCGGCCCGTTGGGCGCCAGACGGCCGGGTGGCCGGGCGCGGGGCGGCTGGGCGGTCGAGACGCGGCCGGGGCCCCTCTGTGCGTCCCAATCACCTGCCGCAGCGCCAAAGTCACGGTCCCCAGGCCGCAGTAGGCGTCCCCAGCAGTCAGCAGCTTGCCCTGAGATCAGGCGGGGGGTGCGCCGTCGGTGTATGGAAGAGGCAGGGAAGGGGGGGGGCTGCGGTCATGTTGAGCTGTGGTGCAGCCAGCGGCGGCAGCAGGCGGCGGCGGCGGCGGCGGCGACCCTCCAGCGGCTCCCGGCGCAAGACGCGCAGGAGCCGCGCGCGGCGGCCGCCGGGCGCCCTCGCGGCGCGCCCCGCGCAGTTGCTCCACCAAACGGGGCCCGCGGGCGCCCCAGCCCCCGGCAACACATGCGCCGTGCCCCCCTCGCCCCCCCCCCTCCTTCCAGCCCCTGTCCAGCCAGCCCCCGGGCCGCGGCGCACCGCTGGAACCCTCTCCGGCGCCGGCGCCGCCCGCGGCCGCCCGGCCTCGTCCGGCGCCGATGACGTCACAAACGCCAGCACTGAGTCATCAAACTCGAAGCGCCACCAGAAGTGAGACCGCCTGACGCGCCACGGGCCGCCCTGCGGCGCGGCGGCGGCGGCACCGGCGCCGCCTGTGACCGGCTCGGGGGCGGCGGGCTCCTCATCTCCACCGTCTGAATCACCCTCCCCCTCGCCATCCTCCGATGACGTCACTTCATCCGCACCGCTGCAACCCTCGCCCGCGCCGCCGACTTGCAGCCCCCGCCGCGCGCCGCCGCCGGCTTTGCCGCCACCACCGCCCCGGCCCGCCGCCGCCGCCGCCGCCTGCTGCCGCGTCAGCCGCGGCGGCGCTACTGCTGCCGACTGCCGCCGCGGCTTCCGCCGCTCGTCTCGCGGGGCGCCTGCCCCCTCGCCTTCCTGCCCCTGCCCCTCCTCGTTTGAATCTGCAAGTCGGAGGGTCAACAGCGCGTCGTCCCCCGCCAGACCGTCCCGCTCATACGCTTCGACCGCCTCCCTCCACGGCAGCCCCGGGTACCTGCGCGTGGCGGGTGGAGGCACGCGTTCGACCCCCGCCGGCGTCGCGCTTGTTTTTGCGACGGGGTGCCCAATACAAGGGAAAGTATGCGACCAGCGGTGCGCGTGGGGAACATCGCCTGAGCCAATAGTGATGCGAGGGCTGGGCAGCTCACACGCGGCGCCGGCGTACCTGCGCATGGGCACACCCGCACGCGCGCGTGCCGGACGCTGCGACCGGCGCGCGCGTGCACGCCGGCTGGCGCGGACGCCGCCCCTGTCCCCAACCGTGCACACCTCCACATGCCGCCCACACACTGGAAAAATGGCCCCAAAAACGACACGAAACCCCCGCCTGGCCCTTAAACCCTCGACCCTAAACCCTGAGCTCAAAATCCCCCACCTGGCCATGACCTGGTCAAGATGCAGCACCTCGATCTTGCCGAGGATCAGATTGGCGTGGACGTGGTACACGCAGCGCCGCCCCTTGCCGACTACGTCGACTGGGGAGAAATCGAGCATGGCGGGCAGCAGCAACAAGGGGCGGAGGGAAGGGCGCCGAGCAGGGGAGTTGGGGGCAGGGGCCGGGCCGGGAAAGGCGGGACGGGGGGCGCCGCACAGGCACGGCAGCGCGGGGGGGCAGGGGCAGGGGGGAGCACGGCAGCAGAGGCGCGGCGCGTGGCCGGCTGCGACGGGCCCAATGGCCATGGCCTGAGACAAACGGCCTCCGGGCGACGGGTTTGCAGATGCAACCACCCTCTGAGGTTCGGGATATTTTTTGGGGAAGGGGAGAGGGCAAGGTGGCGTTGGCTCACCCCAGACGCGGCGGTCGCCCTTTTCCGACTCCTCCCGCTGCAGGAACACCTGAGCCTTCCTGCAGAATCAGGGATCAGGGCAGCCGGGGATTTTGTGAGGGCGAGGCACGGCCCTAGATGGGGCTTTGGGCGACGGCCTCTGGTCGGGGGTGCCGCTCGCCGTGGCGCCACAGGCGATTGAATGCGCACAAGACGGGCAAAGGTTCCAACCGATTCTCCAGGCCGTGCAGTCGGGCGCGGGCCGCGTTCGCCCCACGGGCTCGCGGGGCGGCGGCCAACGCGGGACGCGCGCCCACCATCGGCTCGCCATGCCAGGGTGGAGGTCGCAGCCCGCGAATATGTTCCCCCAGCGCCAGCAGTACCGAACGCCGATCTGGGGGCGCGCGCGCGCGCGGGCGGTGTGCGTGCGTTTAAGCGCGGCCGCCGCACGCCCCCGCGGGGCTGCATTTGTGCTTCAAGGACAGCCAGCTCGCCGCGGCTGCCTCGGCCGCGGTACAGACTGCCCGGCCGCCGCCGCTGGGCCAGCCTCGGGCGGCGCATCCCTCTCACACCCCCTGCGTTGCGCCTCCGCTGGGCTGGGCCTCGGACGCTTGTTACCTTTGGATACCATAGATTCGAAGTCCGTCCATCGCACAAAAGCGCACTGTCCTGAACATTCCGACCCGCCAAGGGGGCGCCAGTCACACCGCTACCCTGCCGCTGCCTCGGAAGCCGCTCAGTGCGCACCCACCCAATCTCCACCCCCGTCCGGCAGCTACCTGGCAGCTGCCGTCCTTGTCCTCCAGTATCGCGATGATCTGAGCCACCCAGGGGGCCCTGGGTTCGGCGGCGTCCAGGCGTTTCTCAGGAGCGATGCGGGCCCGGCGCGGGGGACCGTGCATGGGTGCAAGTGTGCGTGCGGGCCAGGACGCATGGGCGCGAGGGCGACCCAGACGGCAACAGGCGTGCGACGCGCTGCTGCATCTACAGAGACGAAGACTTGCCGCATTGAAATGATTCTGATTCTCTGCAACAAATGCAGAAAGAGGCAGCGCACAAAGCCGCGCGCACCTGCCCTCCCCTTGCACCCCTTCAATCTCGTCATCTGCAGGGTCGATAAGCACCCAGTCCCACAGCTTGCAGCTGCGGCGGAGAGCAGGGGCGGCCGATGCCGATCGGACGGCGTTTGAGGGGGCGGGGCCGCGTCATCCTCACCGTCTTCCTTGTATCGTTGCTGACGGGGATGCGCCCCTGCCCGTCCGTCTGCCGCGTCGCCACCAATGCAGAGCCCGCAGCTGGCGGAAACGCTCACGGGCTGCTCGGGCGGGCCTCATGTGGGGGCCCCTCACAATGGCAGCCGCCGGCGCGCACCTGATGCGTGCGGTGGACGCGACGCCATAGTCTCGGAGGTCTGTCGTGATCCAGAAGCCGCGCGGCCGCAGCCTGGCGCCGTCAAACACGGGGTCGCGGCCGGCGTCGGGGCCGGCCCATTCGAAGCCGCGGTCCCGGAGGGCCTCCGCGTGGCCCTCTCGATAGTCTGGCAGCTGCGGCTGCAGCGGCGCGCGGGACATGGGCTCGGCTCGCGGCGCGGCGCCGCGCGGCGCGGGCCGACCGGGAGGAGGCGTGCGCTTTGAGCGCGTGCTGCGCCTAGACGGCCACTCTGGTGCGGTTCCAGCGGGGGGTGGGGCGCCCCGCGGCGACGTGCATCCCTACTTCCCTGCCATGATAATAAGGTCTTGCTGTTTTCCTTCCTGAGAGTCTGTCTCACTGACAGGAGTAGGCTAGCCTTGCATAACCAGCACTTGTAAACAGCTGTAGCGCGTCAAGCTGATGTGTTGGATGAGTAGAGACGTAAAGGCAGGAACATGAGAGCGATGCTGCTTCTTGCTCTGTGAATCTTCCGTTCAAACGCAATGACGGACGCGAGTGATCTGCGCGCGAGCACCTGCCTCGTCCGAGGCGCTCTTGCTTCATACACCCACAGATGAGCAACATTGGTTGATAAGTTTCAGCCAAGTGAGGTAAAGGCGATGGAAGGCGTCCGCGACCGCGACCGCGACACAGCGTCACCCGAACCGTCACCCCACATGGATCTCTTCTCGCAGTCAGCACAACAGCATGCGGCAACCTCCTTGATCCCCATTCAAGTGGACCCGCACGCGATGAAAGCAATGGCCTGAGCTGCTTCTTAAATGGCTTGTATGGCATGGTCGAGGGCACAGCTGCCCCCGCTGCTGTGCACCCACAACAGGGTCCGTCAAGCTGTTTGCACAGCGATACGATAAGCCATACCACATGCACTGATGCAATTTTGTGCGTCAGCAACACCTGCGACGGCATATTGCAGTTGCATCTGTATGCAGCAGCAGCAGCAGCAGCAGCAGCAGCAGCAGCAGCAGCAGCAGCAGCAGCAGCAGCAGCAGCAGCAGCAGCAGCAGTACACGAGCGAGCACACGACACCCAGTTTGTCAAGGCTATGTGCAGCTCTTGGTTTCGGCAAGGAGGGGGCTGCAAGCCGGCTTGCCATCGCCCCCGCCCGCCTACTCACAGGGCGCGCCACGGGGAGGCAGCTGCACGGTGCGCCCCGCACTCACCTGGCGCCGCCAGACTTGCCGGGGTTGTATCGAGGATGCAGGGTGAAGAGCGCTGACCTGGCCGCGGCCTCTATAGGGAGCCTCACAGGTTTGGACTACAAAAGCGGGCGGAAGCCTTTCAGCAAATTGCAGGCATCCCCTGCTCGGCTCCAGAGGCACTCAGCAGTATCGCTGCACCAGCAGGGGTGCAGCACTGCCGCGGACGCCCGTCCACCCCCTGCCCCATGCGGGCGCGGGGCTGCCTGGGATGGCAGGGACTGGGTTCCGAGCGCACCCGGGGTCCCGCAGCCCGTGTTATGGACGATTTGCTAGGCTGGACATGTGCGAATGAAATGGCAAGCAACCATGGCTTGGAAGAGGGCGTTCGAGGGCCTGGTTGTGCAATATCTATGCCAAAACTGTATATGGAAATATCTAACGTACCACAATTCTGTGCTGTGCGTGAGGAGGCAGAGCAACGCAGAAAAAAGAAACTGCACGCATATGTACGGACAGGTAACAAGAGCGGTTTGATCATCTTCTTAAAGGCTAGCCTATTCATCTATTCTCTTGAGTGCCAGGCGGGCGCAGAGGACCACACCTGTGACACCGCTGTCACACCATCATCATCAGTCCTTTGCTCAATCCTTTGATTGGATTGGTGCATGACAGCCGTACATCGCTACTGCTGACCTGGTGCTGACACCAAATAATAGTGCCCTCCAAGTGGGTTGGATTCGACTGCACTCCAAGGCAAGGTGCGGACCATGCCCGCCACAAACACTGCTGCAAATGTGTTTATCAGATACGCTCAGTGCTTCTCCACTCCCGGCCCCCCATAAACAGCGACCGGTGTTGTGGTGCTATCATACTACCGATCCTGCACATACACGGCCATGCAACACCGCCATTGCTGGCAACCGGGATGTGTGTCTCTTCCCCTCGCTGACCGCCGCCGCCGGCAAGACGTTGCGCTCATGGCCTTCGCCGCTGCTGCTGCTCCTGCTCCTGCTCCTGCTGCTGCTGTTGTTGTTGCTGCTGCTGGCGCCTGCCACATCCTACATGAGGCGCCAGCAAATCGCTGAGCGGGGGCAAGATGCACAGCGCTGGCCACGTGTGCGAGGCGACAGTATCCGTCCAAGCCCCAATCATTTGATTATCAGCAGGCTGTGCATGCATGCTTTGTACTTGACTCTGCGGGGCTTGTTTTTCTAATTGTTTTACTTTGAGACAGCCAGCAATCAGGGCGGTAAAAGTTTGGCAGCGGCACCAGCAGGATCATTAGCATTCCGACATTGGCAGCCGGGACCCAATCGTGTCTGAGACCTCTTGGGCTGCTGTTGAAGCGAGTAAAAACATTCCGAAGCGACAACGGAGTGTCACAGTCCCACGAGACCGGGAGCAGGCCTGCTCAAACTCAAGTAAGAACTAAAGCTATGTGCAGCTCTTGGTTTCGGCAAGGAAGGGGCTGCAAGCAAGCGGGCTTGCTGGCGGCCCCTCCCGCCTACTCACAGGGCGCGCCACGGGGAGGCGGCTGCACGGTGCGCCCCGCACTCACCTCGCGGCGCCAGACTTACCAGGGTGGTGTCGGGGCGGCAGGGTGAAGAGCGCTGGCCTGGCCGCGGCCTCTATAGGGAGCCTCACAGGTTCGGACCACAAGAACGGGCGGAACAGCCTTGCGGCAATCCACGCACCCCCCGCTCAGCTCCAGAGGCACTGAGCAGTATCGCTGCACCAGCAGGGGTGCAGCACTGCCGCGGACGCCCGTCCACCCCCTGCCCCCAAGCGGGCGCGGGGCTGCCTGCAGAGGCAGGGGCTGGGTTCCGAGCGCACCCGGGGTCCCGCAGCCCGTGTTATGGGCGATTTGCTAGGCTGGACAAACAACGTGGCCATGACATGTCAAAAACCGGTGACAAGAACGAAGACGAAATAGCGCATATGGGTACTCGAATATAATGATGCATGCCAAGATATGGAAATTAAATATGCGCAGGCCACTTGGATTTCCGGTTTGCTCTAGTGTTGCACTCCTATGTCCGCCACTTCGCCTGCCGGAGGTGTTTCAGAAGTACG